CACCTCTGCCAAATCTCTGATATATCTGCCCAGCAACAAACAACAGAGAGACAAAGTTAGCAACTGGCTGGTAAACACTGTGCAGCATTTGCATAACTGCTAAATAGCCAGATATTTTCCTAGTGAGTCAGAGGAAACCAAAACAGTGCTGAAAGTGAAGTGAATATTGGACTTAAAGTTTTCAGGTGGGCAGAAGCATGACTGTTAATGAGAGCTTATATTGCTCTGTACAGTATCTGGATGTCACATTTTCAGGAATACAAAAATCTATCTGTCATATACATAAATAATGTGTGACAAAATGCAATGTGGCCTGCTCTTAAGGTTATGTTTAAAGACTAGTGTGAAATACAAAAACAAAAGTACAAATTCATAAAGAAAATTGACACGTATATTTACAAATGTACTGTATGCGTGTCCATTTGAAGTCAAACTAAAAAAAAAGTATAAATATGCAAATGTGCAGTTATTAGTATTAGTTAATTAGCCATATTTGTCTTTGACATGCCAATCAGCCTGTTTACATGCACTTAACCCTCCTGTTATATCACAGGTCAAATTGACCCATTGTAAAGTTAAAAGATATAAAAACAATAGTTAAAAGTATGTTATTGGTATGAAACTTCTTCTGCTTGGCTTAATAGGTGTAATCAACATATAAAATGAAAATGATTCATTTCACATATTTGCAAGCTCCCTATGCATATTAATATTACAAAGATACCGTTCAGGTCAATTTGACCCTGAACAGAAGAGGTGTCTCATGTTAATTTATCAACATCACTTCATACAAAGAAAAGATTTCAAAATGTAAAAGAAACTTAAAAAAATCAATGTCATGCCAAAATAATGTATTTTATATGTAGGTCTTTTTTATGAAAAACGAGTGCATTATCACCATTATCTGAACGGTGAAATTTTACCCTGCCAACTTAGCTGCTGCAGTGTTGTAAACTAAAGAACCTACCTGACAATAAAATTATGACACTGTGAATTCCATTTATGCAAATTAGCCAAAATACACACCACTGCTGACATACAGTATCTGTGATAACCAAAAAATATTTGGGAGTCAGAAATATATTGCCTGGCTCTGGCAGTTTAGAGGGGAAATGAGGTTCCAAATGTTGAGGAGATCTGCCAAAAAACCTAAATCTCTTATGCGCAGATTCACAAGTCACACTGTGCCAGTCAGCCTCATCTCACCAGTGACCACGTTTCATCCCCTCAGCACCTGCTGTCATCCAGATTATAGGATGAAAGACAACTCACAATTTAAAGACCGAGCTTCAGCAAAATGTCATGATGACCACTGATACTCTAAAGGAAATGAACAGAAATGTAGTCCAGAAGGACTTGTCATGACCTGCCAATACTTAAGAATGGAGCACTGCATCCACACTATCAGATTATGATAATCAGCCTCTTGTTCATTAGTTGCAGTTTATCAGTGACTGAGGTTCCATTTCCATACAGTATTAATCATGCTGTCTTTCAGAGCAACAGCAAGTCAATACATATTGATAAAGGTCATTTTGTTGACAGGAACACAGCCATTTAAATTTACATACCATCCTAGAAACATAAATCTGCTTTACACACAAATATAATCCCCAGTAAGTTAAACTATTTAGGTGTATTATTGTTCATATTGTGAAAAATGAAATCTGGTTTTAAATCTAATTATGAACCTTAAGGATCCCCTCATATATAGTCTAACAAAGTTTCAGAGTGTCAAGAAAAAAAACGTCAATAAAATCTTTGAAAAGTCCCTGAAAACATCTGCTTTTTGCCCTTCTTTGTCAATTCCAAGACTGAAGACATTCAAATATATGCAAATGAGCCTAGGCATCATGCACTGCCCACTACCGCTGCTTCCCCAGGTAGACTGGTGAAATCACTGGATACACAGGACACGATAGCAGGAGGGAATACTGGAGAGATATGTTTGAGCCTGGTTCAGACCCAGACTCTGATTAGGAGTCAGTTGTCTGCCAAAATCTGCAAACAGCAAGTTTGGTTAGCTTTTTTTTTTTTATGAAACTCAGATTTCAGGGGAGCAAACATACATCTACCCCCTTCAGCAGAGGAATGTAAAAACAACCTGCAAGTGATAAACCTGCACATGCGGTTAGTATAACAGAGGGCAGATATTTATTGGGTGTAAAAAAAAAACATATTTGTGAGTGAAGGGGGCTTTAGTTGAGGTTAATTTACTTCAGACTGGGAGATAGATTTTTGCACCTCACTAAAGAGGTCGTGTTAAATATGCTTCATTATTCTCAAGGTGAAGCTCAATGTGGAAGGTATTTAAGCATAAGAATTTGGTAGGTGGTGGTGGGGGGGGTGTCTTCACTTACTTACAAATGCCCTGGAAAAAGCTTATTTAAAATCAAAATGGCCTGAGAACTAACAGGGTGCTAAAGAGTTAACTTTTTGATAGTTTTCATGTTTTAACAAGCTCAGAGATTACAGAGGTTAATGGCACTGGAAATACAACTTACCCTTCTCCCCTTGCCCGCCCAACCAACACAATGCAAAATAATTTGGATGCTTTGTTTCCCAACTGCATTATATCCCAGACTTAATGGAATTCTTCCTTTATTTATTCAAGGTCAAAGCTCATCCCTCCCACAGTCCTTTGCATTTTAAATCTTCTTCTCAACATCTCTGTAGGAGAATTTGAATAATTGAAATTTTCCTGTAGTAGTCATCAAAATATCACTACACTGCCAGTGAATAGTGATTCTGTGTATGGAAAAGTAAACAGCAGGAAGATGCATTAATAGTCAACCAAACACAACCTGGTATATGAAGAACATATCTTGATTTAGTGTTTTCTTAAACAGTAGCCGAGATGCTTTCTTCTCCACAGCGGAGTTACTCTATTAGTTAGAAAGCATTTGCAGTTGTGAGATTATTATCAGTGCCACACACTAGCTAACTAAATGGGTACAGTATACTGGTGGTCATCCAAGTCCTGACAAACACATTTCTGCCCACTGAGATCATAATGCAGTCTGGTGTGGCACTGTTTTAACCACTCCGTCCAAACAAGACACCACAGTGATAGCTGGGTACTGCATCAAGAAGACTAATCTAATCTGATGCCAGCAATTCTTGGCCAGATTAAAGTTCATTTTACTGAACCACCACATTTGTCAAACAAAACACAAGTGAACATTCAGCATAACCAAATTCATAAAAATTTTTTCTATGAGCTCATTTGACACTACATGCATTTTTAAGCAGTACTATGGCAATTAGCTTCCCATGAATGATTTGGTTCTCAAGACACTCATGACTGCAGCTTCAAAACAAACATCTAAATGGAGACATTCCCAATTCACAATATCTGTGACACAAATGAAAAAACAATAATAGTGAAAATCAAAATTAAATTAGTGTTTTATCTCCTCACCAAAGAGGAGTTCTGATCAACTCCACAGATTGTACAGTCAGACATTTAAAAACATCTCATTTCTGTGGATTTCTTTCAGGGTTGATTAAAAATACAGTGTAGATATGGTATCTATAAGAGTGTACTCGGTTGAAAGATAAGTAAGTTAGGTATTACTCCCTCAAACATGTGCTCAGAGAGATGGGATACAGGACATGGACACAGTGAGAATAAGAAAAAGTCTTAACAAAGAGTGAGAAGTGAAACAGATAAAATAGAAATAAGTGGCCTTGCCTTGCTGCCTGTCCCTAGGCTGCACGTCTTTTTTTTTGCCAATGTACAGCATTCTTGTTTAAGTAGAATAAAGGGCAATCCAGACTGAGAGAAGGAGAGCTTTGCCTTATACCTTCTGGGTCTGTATTTCACTCAAGTAAAATAAGCTAACAGTAATAAAACATGCTGATTAAACTTAAAGTTGTCTTCTTGATGCAAACTGAAGAACCCAAACTGTATCATTTGGTGCATAATCATAACAGATTCAAGTTTCAGATGAACTATAATGATATAACAATAAACAGTAGGCTAATATAATGAAACTTTTTGCTTGCTATTTTTCAGGATGTCGGCTAACTGAACTGTTCAAAGGAAGGCTCGACGGAGAGGCCAAGATTTCCTTTTAAAACTTTCCTTCATTAATTAGTTTTGTAGAATCAACCATGGCCATTGTCTTCAAATGCATGAGTGTTTACTATTGGCACCCACCCAGAAAGGAAACAACTTAGTGAACTTCATTAATATTTATGAAGACTTAGGGTTGGTTGATTGGACAGATGGCCAAATGGACTGCAGAACATATCAAAGTGCTGAGTATGACTGCTTGACACTAACTCAGCACCACAGCATCTTCTCTGAATTATTTCTCATATAAACGTTTTAGAACTTATTTTGCTTAGGCATTTGAAATTCACAACAAATATTACACATTTCTGACTGCTTGTTTGAAACAGATTGTTTAGAGCAAAACAGATGAGAGATCAGCTAAATAACAAACAACACAGTGTCTGTTGTCAACCTCATAACAAAGCAACAGTCCCTTAGGAACTTCAGTTTGAACTATGTTGTTAAACCATTTGTCAGATTTGTCCAAATTAATGCTTGCATGCAAACCTTAAACCATAGTTGACCTGAGTACAACAACTTATGGGATAAGTGTTTTCACAAAATAAGGAGACACACACACACACACACACAAACAGATTACTAGGTGAGCTAGTAAATGCGAAAACTCTGCATCATTTCACCTCAGGACCTTGTAAGTTTAATGCATGACTTTTTCTCAGCACAGCACAAGCTACAGCATATAGTACTACAGTACACAATGCATCACCAGCAACAACTGCTTACTGAGAACACTTGAAACAAACACTTGACTTCCAAATACATTCAAACCAGGCATCTGTTGCAAATACTTAAAAACTCAGTCTAAGCCCATATGAATATAAAAGAAAGGGACAGACTGTCAGAGCTGGCATGAAACAGAGCAACAGACAGACTGTGTAGAACTGCAGTATGTTAAGAGCATGGACACATGGCTACTTACTGTGGTGAAGTTCACTGGGTAGCAATCCTCTCCTCGAAAAGTGCACTGCAGCAGCATATCAGTGATATCATGACCTGTGCGGTTATAGAAATCGGTCATGTTGAACAGTTTTGGTTTGAAGTTCTGGAAGTTTGCCTTTTCCTTTAAGACAGCCAGAACTTCGGGCTCAGCCAAGTGTGGGTTGGCTATTTGGTAGTTATTATTGAGGAGGGCCAGGAGCTCTCCCACATGATACAGATCATTTTTGGTGATTTTGGAGAAGCGGAACTCATTGAGGTTACAGAAGGTAACTTCTGGAAAGGTCAGATTTGTTGCCGCTACCTCATCCAGCTTGGTGACATGAGGATACTCCAGGTAATAAGACACTCGATCCATGCAGACCAGCATCAATAAGGCTAGTGAACCCAGGAATGAAAGAGTCCAAAGGATCCGACGGAATGTCATATGCCCATAGGCGAATATGTGGCTCATGCCATGGAGGGTGGATGTGTTAGCAAAAGTCTGCAGGTTGGAGGGCCTGATGCTTTCAATGCTTTCCTCTGAGCTTCCTTTCATTGCTGTAGAGTGATGCCCTCCAAGAACTTCAGGTTAGAGACTTTGCTTAGCAACAGCAAGAGCAGAATTCAACTGGCAGTGTTGGTTTGGCACACTGCTTCTTTATTCCCTCTAGAAGTGGCAACGGTCTCAATAAACAGCTACCTTAAAATGGTTGTCGGTCTCTGTAACAGTTTTTTCTTCATCACAATTCACCTTCCAGGGGTTGCCAGCTGTTTCTTTAGTCCCAGATCCCCCTCCCTTTTCTTTCAGGGTGCTATTTTATTATCTCCAAAGCCGTCTCTCTCACTCCCTGCTCAGCTGTGCTTTGTAACGGCACCAAACACAATGAGAGCTCCAGAAACACCCACTTGACCAAAATGCAATGCCTCTTGATTCCTGAGTGGTGTGAAAATGGACAAGAATTCAAGGGACAAGACAAGAGAGAAGAACAGAGAAAATACTAGATGCAAGGATAGAGGCGAGAAACAAGAGGGGTGCAGGGACTACAATGAAAAGGGCTAGCGCTTGGACAGAGGTGCTAAGCCTCAGCAGTCAATGGGACCCTTCCTCCTCCAATCGGAGAGAATGCCTCTACATCGCTGTGATAATGGGATGCAATGGTTTTGTGAATGGAGGTAATAAAGAGAGAAATGGCTCACTGGTCCCTTGCTGCCACCTTCCTTTTGCTCTCGTGTCTGTTTTGTTGTTCTCTTTTCTTCCAGAAATGAAAATGAGGTGGTCAGAAAAATTGAACCACCACTGTGCTTGACAACCGGCGTTCACAGCTTCAACGGGTTCCACTTCCTCATGTGTACAGATCCTCTGTTAATTGGGAAGACCACCTCTTGACGCTTTATGGCTACCCCCCACCAGCATAACCACTAAAACCGCTTCGAGACCTCCGGCTTTAGTCCCGTTAACATACAGATTTATATTCTGCCGTGTAGAGCCTTTCACACTCTTTTTCGCTCCCTCTCTCTCCCACCACTCCCCCATTTCTCTCTCTTTCTCGCTCTCTTTAAGTCTCCCTCTCTCTCCCCCTCTTCCTCTTTAGCAGTCAGAATTCATCCCACTGCTGAATGGCCGCTTTGCTTGTGTGTCTCTGCTCACAGGCAAAGTCTTTCAATCTGGACACCACCTTCACTGTGTTATTGTTCTCTGAGCTGCTCCTACAGCTTCTGCTGACAACATGTTTGGTCCTATACAAGAATGCTACTGGTTGATGGTTACTGCATTCATAAGTAATGTGGTGCCAGAAATGTCCACATTTAATCCTTTTTATAATAATGCAAACAACATAGACAACAAATGTAATACCCATACCACATGGTTAGATCATTTATTGATTATTAAGGCTGATTAATCATGTTGGATCTTGGGTAAACTATTTTTGTATTTCAAGCAACAAACTAATCCCAAAGCTATAGCAATCCTAGAACATGGTTCGCTGTGTGACTACATGAGAGGTTCAAGCTGGACCAGTAATGGTTAGTGATTTTAGTGGGTTTTAAATGTTCACCACACCGTTCTGAGAAACCTTTAATTTCTCCTAGGATCAAACAAGATCACAATTCATTGGTTACCCCTGGATATCTCATTATCATAAGGTTGAACTGCCAGGAATATGACCACAGCTCTAGAGGTTTAAATCAATATTATGCATTAGAAACCAAGTGCAGAAACTACAGCAACCCTCAGCACTACAGAGGTATGCAACTCGGATGAAATTACAACAACTGTTTCACCTGTAAACTTCTGAGAAATGCAGTGTCAACCATACATTGTCACCGTTGAGATGCAATTTCAAAAACATTCACTGGAGGAAATGCAACATGATGCCTGAAATGATAGACTATTGTAGTTTTGACTCCACCTATCACAGTGTTTTCACCTGACAGGGGATGCTAAGGCTTAGAATAAGTCTACCACAACAATGTCTGACGTACTGCAATTTCAAAACTATGAGACAGCAGCCTTTGCTTCTTCCCACCAAGTGGTACAAGCTAAAATCAAAACAGAACTGACCCACTTTAATAACATCATAACATCTTAAATATAGTCCTTGTCAAAATGTCACTGATTTGTTCAGGATGTTTGAATGTGGCAGATGTTTGACTCAAGGTTAGCTAATGCCCTCCTATACATTAAATGCACAGCTTTCAGCTGCAGTCCTCTATTGACAGTTATGACCAATAATAATTAATGAAGTAAACAAAGCTTAACAGTCATGGATGACACTGTGCTTTTCTAACATAGCATAACATAACAGCACTCATTGGGTTTTCTAATATATCATTCTTAAACGGTTTCAGGTATATTAGGTCAATGTTGCTAACAAACACTGACAAAATATAAGTCCTTCAGTAAGGAGTTGCATTTAAGTTACTGCCTGAAATAGCAGGAAGAATGGATTTGTATATTTCTGTACTTTGAGAAAATAAAAAACAGTACACATCAATTAAGTTGCCAACAGAAGCCATCATGTTTCACCTTCAAGAACTGGACCGCCTTGTGAAGTGTTGCGGATATGCAGAAAGTTCTTATCTGGCCTAATGATTCCATGATATTACATTAAGTATCCTCTCAGAACCACCCATTTTTATAAGAAAGATAACTGACTATAGTAGCTACATAATTTCACACTTTCACAGTAAGTGAATAATAAATTATAACTTCCATAAAATGTAGATTGTGATAAATAGCTGAATTGTCTCTTATTCACATCTTGAGTTTAGTGGCAAGTACCTTGGTTAAAGGTAATTAACTGCTAAATATATAGATACATGGCTGTATTTGATATATACAATGTATTTCTATCTTTGTAATAGCACAATGTTTAGCTTGTGTTTCACTGTTACACTTAGTAAGGATAAATTTCTCTTTTTATCTGTCTGTTGGTGGTGACCATTCAGCTTAATTATCTGCATGCTTTAATAAATTCATAAAAAACAACTGAGCTCCTTGTTCATTTCTCACTTCCTTTACTAGTTTTGCCACTACAATGAGCAATTATAGTAAAGTGATTTTTGTCACCACTGTTCCATAAATCTATATCTGACATTCAAATCCCATATACACTAACAGAATGCAGATACTCTTCAAGCTGCATTTATTTGCATTCTCTTTACATTTGGGTATCACTGTCCTGTGTAAAGATTAGGAAACTTAAATTCCAAATTTATACTAGCAGGTATGCCTGTTTTTGTAGAATGAAAGTGGTGAACTTTCTGACAGTAATTGCCTTTCAAGTGGATGGTAGAATGCACAGCATAATGCAGTGAATATTAATAAGGAGGGGAAATATTCACTCTCTCTTTGCAGCCTCTGAATTTTATTTTAACCATTAACTAATGTTCTAAAAATGGTCAGGCATTCAACACTTTTGGTTTGTAAACTAACTGCTACTGTAGTCTGTTTCTTTATAATCGATACAGTGTCATAACTGCATATGCCAAGTAGTTCAAATATGTCTGTAGCTCCTGCAAACACAAGTTCATCAGTAAAAGATAACCCGGTTTTCCAAGTTGGATAATTAATATTTAAGATGATGTATTACAATTTATACATCTGCTGATTCTACTGTAGCCTGAATAAGAAGTTTCTGCTTGTTAAATTACAGTTTACAGTAAGGTGTGATACATATGCCTACCTAATACAGCACTAAATATAAATGGACCTTTCCATAATCCTAAACATTTGAGTTTAGATATCCATGTTAAGTTAAAGTTAGATTTCAATACTGCATATCACAAACAAATTCACTGTCTATTAAACCACAAACACAACTTTTTGGAAAGTACACCCTGAAATTTTTTTGCATTACCAAAAATGATCGATTTGATAAAAGACCTATGGAAAGCTAACTGACCCGAGGGTCCTAATAAATTGGGGGCAGGGAATGTCTGTTATATCTACTGTCACAAAGATGTTTTGCTAAATATTCTATCCAATAATTAACCTGATTTGACAAGTAAACATCTTAACAAAGTGAAAACAGAACAGCAGAGTGTTGCCATTCTCACCATATGATTCTAAATAATGTTGGATATTAAGCGATGTGCTATAATTACTACAGTTCAGCAAAATTCCTATGACAAGCAAATTGCCCTGATATAATATGGAGCTAAAAGGTGCAATTACAATAAATCACTGTATATGATGCCCAAGACATGCAAATTTGGCAAGGACCTTACAGAACCGATTACCCTGTTAGGAAATGAACCTGGCAGAAAAGCACACAACTTAAGAACATACACATCATAAAGTTGGAAAAGGAACAACGCTGCACTGAACAGAACAGTGCAAGTATGATGGAGAAACAACACAACTCGGACTACAGATTAGGTTGCAAGTGTGATCCTTCATACCTATCCTGGCATGTAAGCACTGTGGTTCTGTGTACACAGTATTCAGCAGCCAGCACAAGCACATTTTCAACACCACCAGAATAGGAAATATCAGTGATGCATGATCAGTACACATGTATGCATCCCATTTTGGAAGGAAAAAAAAAACCACCAGAATAGGAAATATCAGTGATGGTGTTGCTTGAACAAAAACTTCAACGCAAGTAAACTCAACAGTACACATGTATGCATCCCATATTGGAAGGAAAAAACCACCTGTCTTCACAGTAGCAGTTATTTCATAGGTCAGCAGCATTAAAACACCCTAACAGTGACACACAAAATCGGTATACTGTATTTGTATACATGACAGTGACACAACTTGTGCATTTGGTAAATACAGAACAATCACTGTAGGCTTCAAGCTAAGCTTTGATCTGTTAAGATGCAAAAAATGAAAACAATAATAATACAACAAACACTCATCGTACCCTTAAGCGATGCATTGATATGAAAGGCTGTGATAAACACAACAGCCAATATTTTTCTTTGTCTGTCACTGTCAGATAGACGTAGCAAGGTAACAGATGTGTGCACACACTCACCTTTTATTTCCCATCTTCTCTTCACAGATGAAACACCCAAACTATGGAAATCTGCCAGACAACAAAGAATAAGATGCCCTTCACAATACAGTCAACCAATAGCTGCAGTAATGTGTGCGGTAATTGCTGCAAACGACCTTGCATAAATGCTATCTGAGATAAGGGCCTGTATATACAGTACATAATCTACTGCTCAAAAATCTGTGGAGCGATTGTTAAGAACAAAACTGAGAGGGAAAGAAAAAGTCCAAGACCCTGAACACAGAAATGGCAACATACGACAACAAGATCTGGTACTAATAATCATCTCAAATGGTAACAATGCTATATCACTGATCAAAACAAAACAATTACTTTCTTTGGTAAATCCATGACTATATGATGGGGTCAGTGAAGTGCAGCCTAGGCAGAAAATGCTTGTATTCTTGTGAGCACATTTGTTTTGTCTGTACTTGTACTACATGAAAGAGAAATGTATAACTTGGTACCTTTTTTCATAAAAATGAAAACAACCACCTCATAAATAAAGATGTTAAAACTCCACACTCTCAGGAGTTTGCCTTAACAGTACAGTCCGTGTAAATCACATTCTGTAGTTGCTTCAGAAAGTATTCTGACCTACTGACTTTATTGTGTTGCAGAATTAATTTTAAATTGATAAAACTAACATTACATACTAACATTTCTGCCCAACAATCTATGCTTAGTAACCCAGAATGACAAAGTTAAACCCTGTTTTTATCTCCCCCCCCAAATTTATTAAAAATCTAAATCTGAACATTATCATCTTCTGTGTTAAAATTCTCATATTTTGTATTGTAATCTTAAATTGGTCGGGATATTTTATAAATAAAAGTGTACAAACTCAAACACAAGCTTAGAAATCCAAATACATCACTACTAATCGAACATTGAAAGTCATTACCACAATCAGACACCAGAGTAATACTCGACCAACTAAAACTGATTTATAGACTATGGACCACATCAAGAGGACAGGTGAATCTGCTATAGGGCCTCAGAGCTCAACCTACCCTACTGCCAGCTGCCACTACTGTGCACTTACTGATGCCATGTTATTCCAAAGTGTATAGGCTATAGCTAAAAAGTTCTATGTGATAAGGGGATAGGCTGAGAATATGCCCAAATTATATTTTGCCAAGGGAAACCCAAAATAACCATTAGCACAAAGCTTAATACTTGACCTTTGCAGTTAGTCCCAAACAGGAGTGAGTTTAAACACAAAATTGTTTCTGCACCAAGTAAATAAGACTTTCAGTTAAGATGATAGGGTCTTAACACAACACTGTTCTATATTTTGAAGCTCTAAAACTAGACATAAATACTGCAAATTCCCCAACATATCTGCATTTTTCCATACTGGCATGGACTGAAATCATACAAATTGAATTTGGGCCTTTTGCAGCTGAGGTTCTGCAGCAAGTGCCTGCTTTAATCCAGACTCATTCCTAATACTGTACACTTTAATAAGCACATCCTCGCTGAAAACATTACATGTGCATCAACCAACCTGAACACTGGATGTAACTACAAATGTACCTCACTAGTACTCTGCAGTAAATATTCTGATTTTTAAATGAATTGAGATATTTTTGGAAACTACAATCTTCATGAAATATTGCAACCTTTAAAACTGGTGTAAGTGTGCCACCTAGTGGACGACATTATGTGCACTAGTATTTCCCTTTGAAGTATCTATCACGTTACTTCTGGGCATGACTGCAATACAAAAACAACAAAAATGCTACCGGTCTGATTAAAAACTAACACGGTTGGGCGGTCGCTTGGTTGTAGTTTTATTATATATCATGGTCATTATTTAGTTACGTTGATGTGGAGCCATAATGAGGACAAAACAAACAGGTGAACTTAATCAGTCACTAATGAACGCATGCTACATAAGCATCTGCCCAGGGGCCA